AATAAAATCTCGTAGACAAAAGAATTGCACATCAAGTGAACGCCAAATAAACAAGTTAATTAAAAAGTCTAGTGACATTTAAGCGCAATTTCCTTATGTTATCTAAAAATAGCTCTGTCGTAGCGTAAATCAAGAGCAGGGTTAGTAAAACCATTGGTTAGTTATTGAAACGTTTTTTATTAATTTTTTTTTCAGTATTTTACATGTTTTATTTACAATAGAGTTACATGACTAAAAACCATTGCGCGCCTACTGAACGTGATGACGCGGCCATTGAACGTGATGGCGCAGCTATTGAACGTGATGACGCGTGTGGTGTGGTTGGATAAATATGCCTACTAATTCGGTCCAAATTTTAATTAATTAAAAAAATTTTTTGTGACCGAACGAAAGGATATTTTTGAAAACTTTCTTCGGCAATATTGTTCTAAATTATGGCAGAAATCGATTGGTACATGTTTCAAGTCGCTAAGTGGTCTGGTTGCCGAGATATGGGCCAAAAACTGCTTTTTTTTCGAGGTTGTTTGGCTTTTCCGGGAAATCCATGAAAGAAACCCGGAATTTTTATGGCCTATGTTCATCCTCGTAACTTGCTTAACATAATTACTTTTGGAACTAGTCATCGATATTGCTTCGTTGAGGAGGAGATACGACTTAAAGCTGCGGACACACATCCATCCATCCATCCATTCATTCATACATTCATACATCCAGAAATGACGGGTTAATAAACGCAATTCTCCAGAATGGAAATTGCGCTAAAAAGTGCATAAGAGTGCGCAATATTATTATTACTTTAAAAATTTACATTAGTTTTTTGAGAAATCGGAAGTAGAGTAAATTACTACTTCCGGTAAACGGAAATTATTCAAAATTTGACAGAAGGCAGAGAATTAGATCTTTTACTTATATATGAAATTTCATTTATCTATCTGAAATAGTACTCAAGCTATAAGCTTTTGAAAAATTGAAAGTAGAAAAAGTTACACTTCCGGTTACCGGAAATCGCTGAAAAGTATACAGAACTACAAATTTGATATAAAATACACAGACACACACACACACACACATACAGAGAGAGACATACGGACAAGATTGCAGAACTATGTTTTTCCGACTGATGGAGGTGTAAAACGTTGAGATTTGCAAAAATCTCTTTTTTTTTTTTTTGCACGATTACAATATTTTCTCTATACTTCGTACACGAGAAAGTAAAAAAATAATAATTTTCAAGCATAATCCCATAAAAAAGCATGAGCTCCATTAACGTTTAGTTTTTAACTATTCACACCAATATAGTAGATCTATGTAATTGATATACTTCAGTCGTATGATTGCACCGTGGTGTGCTCCATTCTTTGTGTCATCCTACCCCGACATATTATAGGGCAATGAGTCACAGCCATAGCATTTTTAAAACAAAATAGTTTTAATATCTCAGAAGAAATAAAGATAACGCTAATGTTTATAGTTTAATTTGTTATTTAAATAATGTAGAGCCTTGTGTTGCTGTATCCTGAATTTCAAGCATCTCTCCGGTGCTTGGAGTGGGGGGGGGGGGGTGCACACGTCCCCTAGAACAAAATAAAATGTATAAATATTTTTATAATAGTGAATATTTTTGTACTTCTTGTATAAGCCCTTTATAGCACTACTCATTATCCGCCACTCGTCTAGTTTCAAGAGGTTTCTCCCAAAGTCCCCCCCCCCCCCCCCCTCCCAGGAGAAAAAAATGTCTGAAAGAAACCTTGGCTTCATCGTGGTCACGGTTCAGTTTATAACATTTACTAATTCTAAAGGTATCAGGTATAATAAATAGACAGTGTGTTACTTTTAGCCCTGCTTTTTCCGTAACGCATGTGTTGTTTCTACTGAAACTTTAATGTAGCCTACTGCAGATCCCAAGCATTAAGCCCGTCTAAATAGTTTATATGCCTTACAGGGCTAAATTTGATTCTTTATTTAAACGAATAAGTGCAGCTTAGTAATTTTTTTTACAGAGTTATATAATAAACTTATAAGAAACTTTTCAATATTCTTTTTCGAAAACAAAAAAATTGGGGCCTGAAATTTTGTTGTTGGAATAGACCTATAGACTATAGGCTAATTAAAAAAAAATATTTTTTTTTGAGCCATTAAAGAAACCACCCAAGCAGTAATTAATTAATATTCTATTTCTAATGCTAATTATTACTTAAATAATTTATATCTTAAGGGTTTTCGTTATCGAAAAAACTATTTAGAATTTAAAGTGCTAATTATTCTCTTTCGTTCTGGATTTAGATTTTATAATAACACTATAGATACGGGACTCTTTTTGACAAGTAACATATTTTACGGTATTTAGAGATTTCAATCACTATGGAAACTAAGTATGAAGTTCTGCGCCAATTTTGATTGTGTGATTAGTAAATTTAATTGGTAAGCTTTTTAGAACAGTGGTTCTTAACCTTTTTAGGAAGTGCCTAACTCCATCAGCTTCATATATATGAGGATTCGCGTCTAAAGTCTAAAATAGGCTAATAGCCGCTAATACTGACTAGGCCTAAATAGTAGAAAAAACAAAGCAAAAAAAAAAAAAAAACAATAACCCAACAGCAACTAGATCTAGATCTAAGTCAACTAGGCCTAAACTAAACATAATTTTTTTTCCATAAAAATCGTTTTAATAACAAGCTTTTATGTAATACAGTGGCGTAGGCAGGGGGGTTGGGGGGGGGTCATAACCCCCCCCCCATAGACCCCTCGGTATATATATATAAAGTATGTCGAGGGGGGTGCAAATTGAAAGTTTGAGGGGGGGGGGGTGCAAATCGAAAGTTTGTCCCCGGGTAAAAATTGGAACCCCCTTGAGACGATCCTGGCTACGCCACTGATGTAATAATGCACTAAACAGGAAAAAATAAATTATAGACTACTATTAACTATTAACTATTTAAATAACTTTAAATATAAATAAAATGTGGGTCACTGTAGTTAATATCAATTGGATTCCTTTACTAATATTTAGGAACCCACGCTTTTCTTTATAGTTATTTATGACATTTTTTAGTACTTTAGACCTCCATGTTTTATTTACACTAGAGTTGCATGACTAAAAACCATTGCGCACCTATTGAATGTGATTACGCCCTATTGAATGTGATGACTCGTGTCTAATAGTGTGGAGTAGTTGGCTGAGACAGCCTACTAATTTGGGCAAAATTTTAATTAATTCATAAATAATTAATCAGGTAACCAATTAAGTCAAATTTAATGTCGTGTTGCATTGTCTTCATGCCTTGACCCACGTACCAACTACGAACCGTATCTGTCAGTTAGAAGTGCCTGCAATTTCGCTCTGGCTTTTCGATCTGGACAGACAGGCTGACGACTGACAGAGGAAGTGAGTTAAATAAAAGCTTGTAATAAAAATGTAGGGGCCTATAAATTCAATTAAATTTATTAAATAGTGGCCTATATATTTTTCCACACAACAATAAACAAATAATGAATTGAATATAGATCTAGATCTAGTATGATCATTTGGATTTGTTTTAGGCCCACATGGGATGGTTTGACTTACCAGAAGGGGAATCCTGGAGCACTAGGTCACTAGACTGCTAACTTAAATAGTCTCAAGTGAAAATCAGAGTTCAAGTCAGGAAATGTAACCTGAGTCAACCCATTTCTGAATGTTTATCACATCACATATATTCATGATTTACACGCTCCTGTGAAGGGTGCATTGACTAGACTCATGACAATGTGTGTCATGACATCAAGGATCAACAATAAAGAAGTATCATGATATGATACAGTTATTTCATCTTGCCCTTGAGCACTTTATTACTATGTTGCTCTGTCGCACATATGAATCTGTGTGTGACATGATCCCAGCCAAAATCCCTGAAACTGACTCGAACCAGGTGGTTTATATTGAACCCTGGTTAAATACCACTGGTTTAGACTCAGCAGATCTGTTATTTGTAGAGAAAATAAGTCATCAAGAAATTCACGTTAATCGTTCTAGATAGCACAGCTTAGGCTTTAGGATCACTAACCCAATTAGTTATTGACTATATCATTATCAATCATACGTAATTCTTATTTTTATTATTTGAGGCTACAACTATCAATTTACTAATGTTAGTAAATTCTCGGTCTCTAATTTTACCTGAGAGTAACAAGAATTTTCAATTTTCAGAGCTAACTGATTTTTTTAGAAAACAAATTTAATGGCTCACTGGTTTTAATAGGAGCAACCAGTAGCCTAACCACAAATACAAATAGCCTATTAGTCTAAAAAAATAATTCATAAATTACTTATGTAGAGCCATCAACTAAAAAGCAATGATTGACATATTAAATAGTAAATTTGACTAGGATATGTATGCAGTATTGAATTAAACATACATATATTACTTGAGTACTTGTCTTAAGTTTCATAAACAAATTGTGCTCCTAAATGCTTTTCAAATCTAAACAGGATTTTCAGAAATGGGTTCAACACCCAGCCATTCAAGAGAAGTTGTGTCTACACAAACTTTGACAATAAATGAAAGAGAAGGTATGATTTTAAATAGCAATAAGAATATAATTTTAATCATGTAAATATACAAATCTCTCTATATTATGTGAATGTCTACAGTCTATGGAAAATACTTGAAATAAATAATCTTTTTATTGCTAGTTACTTTTTGTTTCTGTTTCACACAATCTTTTAAGGCTTTGCTTTTGTTTCTTATGAAGATGTAGCAAGCAGTTTTTTTCTAAAGTTTTATGATAACTTAAGTTTATTTTTTAAATCATCAAATTCTATTGTGTTTGTTGTGTGTACAGGGGATGGAGGCAATGCTTCCTAAAAAAATATTTTAATTTAATATAGGGGTTACTGCTACTAGAAATATAAGGGATTGGTAAAATTATTAAAACAATTTTTTAATGTAATATATACATGAACCACAATTGAAAATTAATAATAGCTGTGATTTTTTTTTAAATTTTTAAACAGATTCCAAAACATCTGCAATAGAATCAAACAAAAAGACCAATGATGTCAAAAATAAAGAGAGCACATCTGGAGACAGCAATCCTGATGGCATTAATACACCTGACTCAGTTAAAAATTTAGAAATGCTAATAAAAAAATGCAATCTGCCAAAACCAAATTTTCAAGAAGGATTAGAGATTATAAAACAAAATGTGAAATTATCAACAGCTTTTGAAGTGGCTATAGACTGTGTCAACCATTTTGAAGCAGACCTTTCTTCATGGGTAAATGATCTTGAAAAAATAAACAAGAAATACTTTGATATGCAACATGAGGACAGATCTATTTTTGGAGATTTCCTCTCTGCTACCCAGTTTGGTAAATTAAGTTTTCTGAAATACAAATCTCTCTTGAAATCAAATGGCCTTGAACACTTTAACGACAGTCTTGTTTCATACAAAATAAAAGATTCTGAAGCTCAGCAAGTCTTGTTCTATATAAGATTTCACTGGTGGAATTTTAGTGATGCCAGTACTAAATTTTGTATAAGTTTGGCAAATGAAGGTGTTTTGAAGGAATTAGCTCAAGACTTAGTTAACTTGATTGGCACAGAGGGGAATATATTGGTAAGTTATAAAAAAAAGTTCAATTAGTCCTTTTTTTATATCAAGTTAATTTATAATTTTTATTACTATTTTTACTTCCTAATGGCTGTTTATATTTTCATTCATGTCTGTGTCCTACATTTAATATTGGAACTGCACTAAAGAACACTAATTTATTATTAGAATTTTTATTGACATTAGTAAATACTATGTTTTATCATGATTTTTCTGCAGGGAAAATCCCATTGTTTTGAATCTGCTATAGGTGCTCTACACAATATGGCAAAAGTTGAAAGTCTGAGGCAACTGTACAGAGATGCAAAAGTGGTAGATACCCTGGGCAATTTTCTTAATTATGAAGATCAGCCAAGTAAGATTTCCATATATATTTGTATCTGTGTTTCTGTTTCGTTTATGTTTGTGTTTCTTTTTTGTTTGTTTTTGCTTTTGTGTGTGTGTGTGTTTGCGTTTGTGTTTGCTTTTGTGTTTGTGCTTGCGTTATGTTTGCCTTTCATTTTTGTGTTTGAGTTTTGGTTTTTCTTGGTTGTGGTTAGCGTTAAGTTTAAAGTTAGAGTTGTGTTATGGGTAATGTATTCTTTTGTCAAACATCCACGCCGGGTATATGCTGCTTAATAAACCGCCTGGTCATGGTCTTTTACTGCTCTGTTTTGTGCAGTGCATGGCCTGGGGACGGCTAGTATATATATATAAATATATATATATATATATATATATATATATATATATATATATATATATATATATATATATATATATATATATATATATATATAATATTCCATCGTGACCTCCATTTTGTTATTGTTATAGGCCTACTTAATTAAAATTCTTGGAAATGTTTTGATTATTTTCAGAGGTCACAATGTTGGTGCTTATGACCTTGGCACTAATAATTGATGAAAATCAAACACACCTCTTGATATCCAGGGACAGTGTCTTTGATCTTATTTTTGAACTTATCCAAGAGGCTATGAAAAGAAGTGATCATCGTTATAGTGGCTTTAGGTCAGTAACATTCAACTTGTGCTCACTTTTACACATGAACTTTTGAATATTAATTAAATAAGTTACATTAATTAATTAATTAATTAATAAGTTATCAGATAAATTACACAATGTGTGTCTGAAATTTGGATATAAGAAATTAACTTTTTATTAGAAAAATTACTGCAGCTTTAACATATTATTAGATTGATTATTCCAAAATTAAGCTTTTTACCAGCTTAACATAATTTATATTGTATAACAAACATATCAAAATCAAGATAAGCTAGTACAATATACATAGGAATATGTATATTTATTGTGAATCTGAGTACTCATAGATCATGAGATAAATAGAACATTGCTGTATGTGGTTTCACAAGCACTTGTTTAATTTTATACTCTTTTGGGTCGTGTTCTATTCTTAAAGCATGAACAAAAGCACAAATAATGGTAAGTTTTTGCATGATTTACTGATTGTCTTAATAAACAGTCAAGAAAATTATAACATCTTTCTTTTATTCAGCCTTGAAGAGTTACTGCTAGCATTAAGCGGCTTAAGTAAAAATGATGAAGTCAAAAAAATTGTGGTACAAAAGGGCATTCTTGATCAGGTACAGAATGTGCTGCTCAGCTGTCAAGGAAATGAAATAATTCAGGCTTTGAAACTGTTATGGGAACTCTCTTTTGACAAAGACAATAAAGTAAAAATTCAGGTATGCCCTTGTCATTTTAGAATAATTTTAAAGCACTGTTTAAAAACTGTTTACTGTAATCGAATATATTTTTCCAATAAAGTATTCAGTTTTGTTTTATTTTAATCATTGCTTTTTAAACTTGTTCTTAACAACCAATGTTTATCTTTTAGTTCTTTTAAACTATACCATATACTTAAATTTAATACTCTTATATATTTTATACTCCTAAATTAAAAAGATAGTAATCATTAAATTTTAATGATATTTATATATTTATCTTTTACATATATAAAAATGTAATAATAGTTAAAAATATTTTCAGGAAAATAAAACTCTTTTGAAATCTGTAAAAGAATGTGCAAAAAATGCAGACAAAAGGTTATCTAGTGCAGCAGAAGGAGTACTCTGGGTTATTAGGCAAGATAAACCAGAGAAAATGGGTATGGAATGTTGATATTTTATGCATAAAGCCTACAAGAATTTGATTTTCATAGTTTTATTAAATAAGTTTAAGTATGATCCTTTAACTTTTTTTGAATAGTGTTTACATTATGTAAATCAGTGCATAATTTACATAAATTATCTATAAAATACAAAACATAAAATTAGTTGCTACGATTAAAGAGTCAGATGCTAATTAAAATATGGTAAGCAATTAAATAATTTGATAACTAAGCAAAGAAGTAGAGCTCTAGAATTGAATTATTTTTTAAAATTAGTAATAAATTGAATATTATCATTAGAATTTGCTTCAGTTGTTCAGTATGTTTTAAAAGAATGTATACTTTTCTTAGACGCTAAAGAAATAAATAAAAAAAAAGGAAGCACAAAAAGTCAAGGTCATGTTATGATAAGTTATAACTGGGGTGACCAAGCCAAGTTAATCAAGGTAAAAATAAATATGTTTTATGGAGTTGGTTTTCTAATTTTTTACAATATGTTTCTTTAAATGTGTTTTACCATGTTAGCCTTATGTGAGTACAATGTATGTGGTATTATAATGTTTACATACTAAAGGAGAAAATGTTAAAAACATTTACATAATGAAATAGCCAAAATTTTGTGAATTGCTACAGATTCGTGATGTTTTACGAAGCCATGGTTTTAAGATATGGATGGACATTGACAACATCACTGGCTCCTCACTTCAAGCCATGGCTGAAGCTGTAGAGAAAGCTGATGTTATTTTGATGTGTATGTCTGAGAAGTATAAAAACAGCTTAAATTGCAGATCAGGTTAGTAGTGAAACAAAACATTAGTTTTCATCTACTACCAAGTAATAAAAAAAAAACTTTGAAACTAAGAGTGAAAATTAAAAAGTTTAGTTAATGTTTGACTATTATTTATTTATTTAAAAGATGTTTTCATCTAATTATTTAGTATATTTGTTTACTTTTAAAACATTGAATAAAATATTAATTTCTCTGTAAGTACTTTACTTTTGATTCCTGATATATCAAAACCATACTCATACTTTCAACTAGAGGCAGAATATGCATTCAGTTTGCATAAAGATATTATTCCTCTTATGATGCAATTGCAATACACACCAGATGGTTGGCTAGGTATATTGCGTGGATCAAAAATTTTCTATGATTTTTCAGGTTTGTAGTTTGAACTTTTTTTCTTTTTAAAGTATGCCAATTTTACATTTTAATCAATGCGCAAATTTAATCAAGATGTTGTTTTGATATTCATCAAAAATGAAATTATATCTTTTTCCATATTTTATACTTTCTTTAATTTATTATTCATGCTATAGGTAAATATCCTTTTGATGCAAAAATGGATGAACTTATTCGGGAAATAGGAGACAGAGGCAAAATTAGTGTATGTTCAAATGAAATGTTTTATTTTTTGCTTAAAATTTAATTCATAAACATTTTTTTTTGCCTATTATCTCTCTAAATTGAACCCATTCGCTTCAGATATGTTTTTATGGTCTTGTTGATTTTAAAAAAAAAAATTTGACAAACCTTAACCATTTTTATGTTTTTCCTGATATAACCTAGCTCATTCTTTATAAATAAATTAGTTTTAAAAACACATATTCTCAAAGCAGTTTTCATATAACTTTACTTTATTTCTTTAAGGCTTATCATGATGTAATTGTCAAGGAAGAAATTGCCCAATTAGGCGCTGTTCTTCCAACCACATCTAACAGCATGAACGTAGCTGAGTGGATAAAAGAAAATAATCTTTCAAAGTGAGCTGGAAACTTTTAAACTCAAGTAGAGATGCATTTGATATATTTATTTCTTCTTTCTAAAAACTTATTTTGATTTCTTATTGCACTATGGCACTTTATTTGAAATTTTTTAATTTCTATAAATCACCATTTGGATTTATATTCTGGAGACTTTAACTATAAGATAATAGAATTGGTTGAAAAAATAATTGGTTAACATTGTAGGATACAATTAGTCAGTGCTGTAGTCATTTAGAGCATGCTCCATTGGAACCACTATATAAATATAGTTTGTGGCTTTACTAGTCTTATTATTAAGCCAATGAAAATAAAAGGTTGGACACAAGAAAGGAAATCAAAAGTTTGTAATAAAACTGGACAAAAAACCTCAGGAAATTTACTTTTTGATGATTTGTAGTTAACCCTTATGGGTAGAAAAGCTAAGTTTTGCAGACAAATACATATTTCTTTTTGCTTTATGACTGCCATTGCAATTTAAGAAGTCTTTGAAGAAATTCATAATACTGGATTAAAAAAACTCAGAGGAATTCGAAAACTTAGTAGTCCTAATACAGAAATTTGACTTTTAATTTAAAAAAAAGTTTATTACATTTTGTGAAAAATTCACTTTACTAGCTTTTTATTTTTTTCAGATTCACTTCACTTTCTTCACTTTCAAGTGACCAGTTAGAGTTCCTAAAAAAGATTTCTGTTCGTGTGAGTATTTGACAATTACAAAAAAACAATACACATGTTTTAAATAAAATATAATTTAATTAAAAATCAACTCAAATGTGTGTGAACATTCATTTTGCCATTAAAATATATATTCGATTAACTAGTTTTAAATCAGTTCAAAAGCATGTGTTTATTTTTCTGTAACAATTTGTATTCACTGTGTGTTTCAGGCTCCAGAGTTTTACTACAATTTTATGCTGAACTTGTTGACAGGCAAGGTGAAGGCTGACAGCTTGACATCACTGACTATTGTTACAAATGCCATAGATAAAATTAAAAAATAGCTTTAAATTAGCCTTTTGCTACTACTGTGATAACTTCATTGAATATACATATGTTATTTTATTTGCCAATACAAACTGATATTTGTACTATAGTATTTCTGGTAACAAGATAATTTTTTTTAAAATTTGGTATTATATTTCATATACTGCACAAAGTGATATTCTTAGACAAATTTAATAACAGACAAACACATTTATTTGACACTTTTAAATTTATTATTTCTAGTTAATAAAGATGTGTTTATTTCAGTGTTACTTTTATTTTATCTTCTAAGTCAAAATAAAGCAATTTTTTGTTTTATTGACCAATCCCAGTAGAGCTGAAAAGCTATCTGTTTGCTGTTTAAAATATTTTGCTCAAATGTGTACATTTAAAAAAAGATTTTATTAATTAAAATTGTAAATACAAGGCTATGCCTATTCAAGCCTTTTTTCTCACCAAGTTAATAATTTTTATTTAATTTTGAAAAGCTAATATATATTTTTAAAAAATCTGTATACATTTAAATTGTAAGAATTTTTATGGAATTTTTTTTTTATGCCTTATGTTGAATGAATGTTAATGTCATTACTATTATTTACCCATGAAATTTAATAGGATCTCAACTTTTCTAAAGATATTTATGATGCAATAAGTCTCAATAGATTTTTATACACTAATTTTTTTATGCAATTATTATTACAATTGTCCCTTATGTTGAATGAATGTTAATGTTATTACTATCATTTACCCATAATATTTAATGGGATCTTAACCTTTCTAAAGATATTTATGACACAATAAGTTTTAATAGATTTTATACACTAATATTTTTGTATGTAGATCTAATTATTATTATAATTGTCCCTTAAGTTGAATAAATGTTAATGTTATTACTATCATTTACCCATGATATTTAATGGAATCTCAACTTTTCTAATGATATTTATGACACAATAAGTTTCAACAGATTTTATACTCTAATTTTTTGTTTTATTTATATGTGTTTTTATGCAATACTCTGAATTTTATTCCATATGCACCCTAATGCTCAATGTAAACTGGTATGATTATTAAAATTTTACATTTTTAAAATCCAGTTTTCTTGAACATTTTTAATCTAGCTGTAAAATCCAGCAATACACAATTTCTATTTATCTTAATTCTGTTATTATTTGTTTTAACACTACCTACTAAAATGTAGGACAAATCAAATTACGTAAGGATGCTATTAATTTCATTTTTCCAGTAAATGTGGACAAATTGACTTTAAGAAAATGATGTGAAACTTAAAAACAGTATCAAACATTACCAAACATTTACTGTCAAACTGCATTAGCTCAAAAAGTTAAAACAAAGAAACAAGAAAAATTTAAATAGAGACCCTTCCCACATTGCTTAGCATAAAGAGCCTGTCTAAATATAAAACTGGTCACGTTATGAACTTAAAGTCTGAAATTATTGTGTAACACAAAGAACAATGGACATTACAACCAATTCACAATTTATACAATTTTCAAAAGTTAATATTAACGGTAAAATATAAGGTTTTTCTTAAAAATAAAATCACAGTCATCTTTGTTTACCTGTTAGTAACATCAAGCTAGTGGTTCACACAAAAGTTTAAATTTTAGGAAGCTATTAAGTTTAGTTCTAATTTTTAAATGTTGTGACAGTCTTCATTACTAAAACAACTGAGCCAGATCAATGTTACAACATTTCTATACAGTGGAGCTTAAAAACTTCTCAGCACAGAGGTAATATATAGAGAGTCATCTTTACAAAACCAGTCATTCACATTTTGACTTAGTAAAAATCCACACCATCCAATGAATAACAAGGTTTTCATATCATACTAGTTATTACCAGAAACAGAACGCCAATAAACTAAATGTTATAATTTAGAGGATTTAAAGCAAAATTAATTGCTATTTCATAACAAACAATTTTAAGAGGTTTATTGTAATCTGTATTAAAATATTGTCAGTTGCTTATTTCACCTATAAATGTAAACATGATTTATATATATATATATATATATATATATATAAATATATATATATATATATATATATATATATATATATATATATATATATATATATATATATATATATATATATATATATATATATATATATATATATATATATATATATCAGAAGACAAGAAATGGCAACTCTTGTCTTTAACAAAATACAACACTGAAGTGTAGCTCACAGTTTATAAAAACTTAAAAAAAGATTTTCCTTTCACATCATCTTGACTACTGTCCCTACTTCCAACTTGTTTTGGCTGTGTTTCATCTGCCATTGCAGTTTTAGCATAGGTCTCTTCCTCCATGGGCTCATGTTCAGCTTCGATTGGCTGTGGTTTTGGCTCATTCATTCCAGCCCCACCCACTTCCGTACTTGCAGCTCCCTGCACTATGTTACCACCAGGTGCCCTTGCACTGTTTTCATTAAACGACTCACTCTCTGAGCTACTGGGTAGGCTCCTCAGTGGAGGAGGGAGAAGTCTTTCGTCACTAATCAATGACCTTTGTGGACTTGGTAATGATAATTTATCACTCTCATTTATAGTGGAAAGATAGGGCATTTCCTTTTTCTCGTTGCTTGCGACCTCCCCATCCTCGCTGTTTTGCTGACTTAAAGCAAAAGACGACGCTGAACTTTCTAAAGTAGAAGGCGACTTTGTTGTACTTATAGCTGAAAAATTAGAAAAATCATTCATGGCGCTCTCTAGCTTATGACTCTGCAACTCCCCCATCAGTTCTCTGTTCAAATGTTGTGCTGAAGGATTAACAGACAGGGTCTGATGAGTGCCAACAGGGGCTGCCTTTAGATCTGATTGCTGTGCTGAAGCAGTGACAGATGGGGTCTGGTGGGTGATACTTGTGGGTGGATCTGAACTGTCAGTTAGGGTCTTGACACTGGTTGCTGGTTCTACAGATGGTTTAGAGTCCTGACTCTTGCTGCTCTCTAAACTGTCTTCTTCATCACTGTCATCATCAGACTGTGATGATGTGTTTTCTGGTAAGTACCTTTAAAGAAATAACATTGTATTCATTTCTTTATTTTTTTTAATCAAATTAAAATGGAGCTTAATAAAGCATACAAAGTTATAAATATATATAAATAATTCATTTTAATAAAGTAAAAACTACTACATCTTTAGCTTTCCCAACCAAATAATTATTATAATATATATATATATATATATATATATATATATATATATATATATATATATATATATATATATATATATATATATATATATATGTATGTATTTCAAGCTATTGAACTTATTTTATATTGATTTATTTATTTCATATTCATCCAATAATATTCCCCCTTATATTCATCCCACTATTTATCTCTCCCACTTGTAATGGCTTTCTTCCCTTTACCTTGCAATATCTCCCGGCTCAATCTCATCAATATGGTATGGCACTTTCTTCCACTGATTGTAGAACTCTAGGCCAAATTTATTTCCTGTATCAAAGCCAAAGTATTTGATTCCCAAGACAACAAACGGCACTTTGGAGAAGATCATCATGCTGCCGAGTTTGTTCAAACACTTTTTCCCTTTCTCTGGCTCCCCTTTGCACACCACAGACCCAGCTACCTGGATCTCATCCATGTAGGTCACATTCTTGTATGGCTTGATTTCAACTTTATCCAGGATTGACCTGTAAATCACAAAGAAAAGAAAAAAAAACTATTAGAACCAGGCAATCTGAAAATGAACTGAACTAAATTGTAATAAAATTAGATTGAATTGTTATGTGCACTGATGGTCAATCAGTATAAAAATAAAATTCAATGTAATTTTTTTTAACACTTTAGATTGAATAACCATAAGTTGTTTTTTAAACTGCAAGCTTAGTACATTAATACATTTAATCGAACAAATTAAATCAATCACTTGGCTGAAGAAATAAACCAATGCAAATCTCTTCAGATGATTGCATAATTTAACAAAACCAATACAAATTCTATGGCGAAACCTTCCAGTAAACATTAATTACTTTCTCCAGGCATGCATTTTTAATCAGCTAAACAAGATGTTGGGTTAACACATTTACTCATATAAGTATGTGTCATTTTTGTTTTTTCTCAAGTCAACTCCTGTAAAGTTTTTCTACAGCAATAGTAATTTTGTTCTTAACATTTGGATTTCAAGTGGGGTCAATGACCTATAGATGCTTTTAAAAGGTAAACCTCTAAAACTAATAATATTACTCTTGTTTAAAAATGTAGTTAAAATAATGATAGTGATTTAATTAATTAAAGTACCTGTCTACAACGACCCTATGTGCTCCAAAAATTGTCTTGATGTTGTTGTTTTCTATTTCAACTTTACGACACAAATGACAAACCTGAATCATTAAAAAAATACTAAATGTAATAAAATAATGAAAAAATTAATTAAACTAAAACTATTCTAATTTTTTTTTGAGGGAACAAGTAAAAATTGCTTAATATATAAAAAAATTACAGGTAATTTAGTAGACAAATATTTTTACCATTTTAAATGATTTATTAGATAATCGACTATCTTCTTGTTTTTTCACCATCTCTGAAATTTCCTCCTCTTTGACAATTCGATCCTGGTGTTCTTTATTTAATTTGCGTATTTTTTTCGGGCTCATTTTGTGAATCACTTTAATAGCCCTCTCCATCATCAATGCTTTCTCTTGGTTTATTCTCTCTTTTCTAAAAATCTTGTCCATTGCAAGCAAGATGGAGACACCTCCACTTTTTCTGCTTCTGCCTAGAAATATATTTTTTTTTTAAATAAAAAAAAAGCAGACTGAATAGAAATGTTTTTCTTAGGAAGACTACTTAAGTTTTCATTTTGACAGAGAATTGTTTGTAAAAATGTAATGACAATTCATTTAGGTCTAAACTGGGCTAGGTTCTATTTCTTGATAATATTTAAAATTTATTATTCAAGTAAAAAAAAAGCTTAACTACAAATTTTGTTTTTTAATTAAATTTGGGTAAAAATTTTTGTTTTTTAAATTTCGGACAGTCAAGTGTTTTAGAACTATTTGATTTTTTCGTTTCCTACAAACAATTACACAAATGAAATTTTTATTTTAATATAATCTGATTTTTAACAAAATAAAAAATTATTTATTTACCTCTGGTTTGAACTGTTGTGACCTCATTACCCACATGGTTGTACTTGATGACCAGGTTACATTCTGGAATGTCAAGGCCCTCCTCTCCCACAGATGTGGCCACCAGCAGACGCACTTCTCCCTTCCTGAACTTTTGGATGGTTTCCTCCTGCTCAGACTGAGTCATACCTAATTGGTTGACAGATTAAAAACATTACATTACATTACAGATAATAGCAAATGATGAATGCTAAAATTTATAAATGTTAATAAAATACTTTTAAATTTTCTTTCTGTTTTTACTAGGAAAATAATAATTTTTAATAGTAACAAGTAGGTTACATTTAATAACTATTTGAAATATTAAATAAAAATAAACCAAAAATTACTTTTTGGTAGTAGTTTTAAAATGAATAAGATAAAACTATCAATTGTGATGGACTACAAGGCAGTTGAAATAGTGTCTACCTCTTCCTGTGAATTTGGCAGTCAAAGGGGTTGAGTGGTAAGGACTAAGCCGATATCCACCTTAACTCTCACAGATTATATTCAGGTACTCAAAAACAACCATGAGTATACGGAGGTGTAAAATGGACTTGAGTCCATGATTTGAGCTTAAGACTTTAGGGTTAACAGATGTGTGCTCTACCACTCAACCATTCCATCCCACATTTGTGTTTAAATTACAAAATGCACAAAAACCAATGTACATCTAAATATTAAACTGATATTGTTACACTCTTAGGTGCAAATAAACCACTTGATATTCACACATTTAGCCAATATAGCACTCTAAAGTGCACATAGTGGAGTGAAATCTGAACATAAAATGAGAGCACACAACCATTTAAAATCTGAATATTAAACTGATACGACACTCGTGCAAACAAATCACTTGATATTTCAAGATTTGACAGATATAGCATTCACAAGTGCAAACAACCATTTAACATCTTAACATTAAATTGATATCACAGCACTCACCTCCCTGTTCAACAGATGGTCCAGTTCCAGTAAAAACAGTTGCATGAAGCTCAGACAACTGTGGGTCACCACAGCGATTCAGCCACGATACCAAAGCATCTGTTAGTGCTCGAGTTCTTACAAAAATAATACCAGATGATTTATCTCCCTTTTGGATTAGATACTCCTTAAGTGTCTTTTTTAAGAGGGTGAGATTTGGGTTTTCAGCATCTTGTTGTCTTTTTACCAGATCTTTAAGTGCTGTTCATTTTAAAGAAAAATGTATTTTATTAAATAGATAAATGAAAAATAAAACTTTTACAAAAACTACCATTTAAGATAATTTTATATACTCTTTTTAAAAGATAAATGTTAAACAAGGCAAACATTGTGCATGATAAATAAACTTACAGAGAAATAAACTGTAGCACATGTCCTCGCCAGTAGTTTTTTTTTCATTAATGCGGTACCTTTCAAAACATTTCTCCAGGTATCCCATTACATCCCTCAACTCCACAAGATCATGAGTCTCAAGTGCAACATTGTAAGCCTGAAAATGTTTTAAACCATTTTATTTAGTGAACTATCAGACTGCACCAGAACCTTAACATGTGTAATTAAATGTAATTAAATGTAATTTAATGCTAATATGTAATTAAATAAAGTGTTTAGACCACTTCAAAAGTAGGACTAAACTTCAGTAATTTGTCACTATAATTATTTCTTTGCTATATTCCAACCTCCACATTTTTACTTTTTCTCAGATTCAGATATAGAAGTGATATACAATGCATATTATATTACAGATTAATGGTCAATGTATACACTAATGCAGGAAGATAAGAAATAAGAAAAAGGTTAAATATATAGTAGAAATTTGTTTGACATTGGCAGAGCATTTCTTGCATGCTGGGAGTAAAGTAAAAAAAAAATTCTAATTTCTAATTGATTTAACATGAAGATTTGAACTTGGAAGAAAAAGGGTTTCCTTCTCATCAGAAGTTGACCAAGTTAAACATATTTTATTTATACTAAGGAAAAACAGTTATCTAATCTCAAAATGTGGCTTTATGTCCTATAAAAATATCCACAAACAACAGGACTTACCACTAAGTAATCAGCAATGATTATCAGGTACCTCACTGGTAGATTTGTCTCCCTTTCTTCATTTCTTGGTAAGGCCTTGGCTATGTTTTTTATTTTTACTGCCCACTGTCCATACTGCTGACTTTTCCTGTCTGTTGGTATTTTGCTGACATAGCTATTCAATTCTTTGTTTTCAATTTCTAAAAAGAAAGGTGTTTTATTTTTAAAAGTTTTTCAAAATTAGCTTGATATTTAAAAAATCACTATCTGAAATGCTCGTGTGTTTATTTTTCTCTTTTCAACTAGCAGGATCAATATTTTAAAAAATCATGATGCCCACATAATGAAAATATTATTTACTGCTCATTTAAAAATAGTCCTACTCTTTTTCTAGTAATTATTGCTTTGTTTTTATAAATTTAAAACTAACTTGAGTGCTCATCATTAAGTTAAAACTTACTCTAGCCCACTAAAAGCTATTTAAAAAAAAATTATACATACTTTATGAACATAAGAATATTGCTAATAAAAAAGCCTATACTACTTACCACTTGCATAACCTTGAATATACTTTTCAAGCTGATTCATATTACGGACTATCTTCTCCACAGGCTTATCATTTTCTCTCTCAGTCAGTCTTAGCATTTCTTAAATCAAAGTATGGGGCATCATCATTGCATACAAAATGTGATTTTAAAAATGTATTGTATAAAACAAACTTACTCAGATTTTAAGAAAAATAAAAAAAAGTCTTGTCTATTAGTCCCTAAACATTTTCATTAGGCTAATCTTAATGAACCTATTGTTTAAAGTCTCAACAATGATGATTAAATAATTGATTTTGATTAATGCGTCAATTTACTTTCTTCAGGAACTGGAACTTTGTCTCTCAGCTCCTGCTCATTTTCTTCAACTGCAGATATACAGTCAGCATCCAAGTTTCCCAGTACTTTCAGTATACATTTCACGGCTTCGTCATCTTGCACAGCTTTCTCTACACTTATGGAAGCAGTCAGCCCAACTATCTACAGACAAATTTGTTTTTTTAATGCTTAAGTTGCATCAATATTTAAAAAAAAAAGCCTACTCAAGTAAGTTTAAATTATAAAGTGGATATTTTGAAGTTACCAAGTATAAAACATTATTCATAAGATTAGATCCATTAATAAGGAACTTAAAAAGTAGGAAGAAGTAACAGCAAAATCCTTAAGCCTTAAGGGACCATCTATAAATGCTGTCACACTCCTAAAGAGAAAGGGGTGATTTGATGTTTTAGTGTTAAAGGGGGGAAGTGAGACTGAAGTGTGACATCATTTAAGAACCAGGTCTGTCGTTTTGTGACCATGCCTGACAATGGTGAAGAAGGGGTTATAAAAATGTAAAAAACTTGACATCATTTATTGCATTAATTAGTAGTTCATTAAATATACAAAATTAAATAAAAATGATTGATTTTAAAAATAATAAATGCAAAAAAACATTCAAAAGTCTTACCTGAGGTAACTTAATTTCCGGACAATCCCTTTTAATTTTCAGATAGGAAAACATCAGTGTGTTGTAAGGTTCCCCTTTACGTGTGTGGTGGCACTCATCAAATATGAGCATTGAGAAAACGCCAAGATGGGGTAGACACTTTCTTGTCAGATGGTTCTCTAATATCCTCGGAGTCATCACAATGACATCGTTGTCTGGTAAAATCATGTGAAGGTGCATACTGTCTTCACTGTCGCCAGTCAGATTTGTAACCTTTAGGAATTTAAATAAGAAATTTGTCAACAATTTTTATTGTAGGAAAATGGTATAACATTTTTTAAAATAAACTATATAAAAATAAAATTATGGGAGGGTGTGGTTGAATGGTAGAGCATTTGGCAGATAGCCTGAAGGTCGCGAGTTCTCAGTTTGGACTTGTGACGAGGACATTCCTGAGTCCACGCAGCTCAGATGGGCACCTGACTTACTTTGGGGAAAGTCGGCAAGGCACAGTGCTGACCACAGTAGTCCTTCTTATTCCGAGATCAAGGAACATGAATTCTACTTTATCTGCTCAATAGATCGCTAGATCTAAAGAGGAACTTTATTAAAATAATTGGGAATAGGAATTCTTATGTTGTTGACATTAGACAAAGCTGAAATTTAAAAATCTGGCAACTTTTTTGTGAAAGCTCGATCAGATGTATAGAGATGGAGTAGCAACTGACCTGAAAAGGTGTTGGCAGAAACTTTTTAAGACACTTGAACTGTTGCATAACCAGTGGCACTGTCCTGGCTAAAAATGCCACTTTTCTTTTTGGCTCATCATCTGATGAAAGAAATAACCATTTCCATTCTTTAAAAACAATAATGACTATAATCCTTCACAAAAGGAAAACAATAATCATTAGTACAAAAAAATATATAAGATTGTTGCAATAAAAAAACAATGAAGTATGTTTAACAAAAATATTTTTGCCTACCTTGTTGTGCTTGTAAATGAGACAGGATGACATACATGGCTACTCTAGTCTTTCCTGAGCCTGTTGGTGCACAAATAATTGTGTTTCTCCCTGCAAGGGCTTCTTTTGCAAGTTCATGTTGGTATTTTCTCATAGGTTGTAGAGCTGCTTCTGTAAACAAACATGACATTTTATAAAGCAGTTAGATATTCTACATTGAAGAAAACCATTGTCTGTGAACCAAATGACATTATATTTATATCTTGATAAATATAATTAATTTCTAATGCTTTAACTTTCATTGTCACACAGCCTTTTGTTCCTTAAAATTATTATTAAATTAGTTGTATACTTAATCCCCTATTAAATTTTATTTTTTATAAATGAGAACTTTGAATTAACTAAATTATTCATTAACAAGTGTAAAGTAAGAGAGACTTTTTTGTGTAATATGACAAACCTAAACTAATTTTTTTCTCATTAGATTCATCAGAACTTTCTTCATCTGAGAAGTCAAAATCACTGGTTGTTAAGCTCCTCCTTCTCTGATGTTGTGGTTCAGTTGTTATGTCACTAAGTTTAACAGTTCCTTTTTTTATCAGTTGTTGCCAGCGACCAGACTTTAGATCCTCTTCAGATATGTAAAGTTTTGCTTTTTCTCCTGTGTTTTCTGCAGTTATGAATGAAAAAGAAATATTGATCAATTAATTAGAATTTGAAGTTATAAACATGAAGATAAATACATTTTGTTGTTAAATAAAAAAAAACACTTTTAAAATATTTTTATTATCTTGTGATTTTCTTTACACACACAAAAAAAAACAGTTCTGACACCACAATCTTTATTCTTATTCACAAATACCTTCTTCATGACATAGCACTTATTTCTCATTGATTTATCGGTCACTGGTGGTATTATTTTGCTATATGGGGTTTTGACTTTATTCTAGTGCTGGTTTAGTGATTTTATCAAATATCTTTACTAACCCCAAAATGGATTTACTGTGTGTTGACTGTTGTGATTACAATTGTATAAGCTACATACAAATAAATTTGATATAACTTAAGCTTGATATCTAGTGGATTTTTAAAATTATTTAACATAAAGTACTTGTATTAAAATATCTCAGAATGTATTTAAAACAAACCTTTAAGGCTACTGTTAAAACTCTCTAGTTGTAGCGAAGCATTGGAAACAGTTGAGAGGGTGTCATAACTACTCAGTTCTCCTGCAGATGATGCACTTTCGACTGTGTAATGATCTTCATGAGGTAACATACCCAGGCTCACAAGGGAGTCTGCAAATAAATTTTGTTCAGCAAACCAATCGCAGGCACTCAAGGCATGGAGATCTCATTACTTCAGAAACTTTCAACTCCACTGACAGACAGATGCTAAAGTTTGCTTTTAACATAATAATAGTGACAAATATAAAATATTTCCTTAAAACATAACATTGAATACATTTAACAATGCAGAAAAATTATATAAAACTACCTTGTGGATTTTCAACTTGTGAATTATTTTGTTTTGAAAACCAATCAGGTCTGTACTTGACCAGTGCATCATAGAAATGAAATGGCCAGTCATGTTTGTGTCTTTTGATTGATCTATATGTCTCCAGGCAACACTCTTGGGATAAGTTAGTTTTCTTACAATTCTTTAAGTCTCTCTGTAATGAACAATTGGAATTAGAGAATAGTCAGATATTTGCAATAATATTTAATCACCAAAACACATATGCCGGCGTTTTATAATTTAAAAAATGCTTTCCGCTGTGTTAGTTTTAACCCACAGTTATAAAAATATTTTAAGGCATAACTATAATAAAATAATTTTTTTTTCATAAATAAACCTACATAAAAGTATATCGAAATATAGTTTATCTATCAATAAATTTAAAAAAGATGCAACATATAAAATCAAAACCATACTCACTTCACTGATCAGTTTCTTTTCATATAAGTAATCAAGGATGACACACCATTTATCTTGTGAGAGCTCTTTATTGACTGTGTTAAATACATTCTCTATGCATGTGTTTACATAAGTCTCTTCGCTGATTTCTGATTCACTTTGAACAGGATGTAAGAAAATTGATTTGTCTGGTAGAAAAAGAATTTAAAAAAAAAATAGCATTAATGGATATCTGGTGTTTTGAATTGATGTATCTTGAAATATTTATTATTTATGTAGTTTAATTCATCCCCTCCACAATCAATTATGAACATAATGTCTAACATAAATGTCTCACATAAACTCTTTTGTAAAATAGTGACCAGAAAGATTTAAGTAGATAGAAGTTATTACACAGTTATTACACATACATCGCTTTTTCAGAAGTGTTACATGTGAATAGATAATCTCAAGACCTGCAATGCTTTTCACTGGGGCATAATATTTATCTAAACCACTTGAGTTTATAGGGCAGCAGTTTATCCTTGCATATAGTAGGCCTACAGCTGTATCGCAACCAAACAGGTAGATCTATACCGCATTGTTTAGCTTTAGTAATTGCAAAATACAGAAACCACCAGGATGGATTACCTCCACAGAATCAAGATAGAAAACTCTACACAAGATAGAGAACTCTATACAAGAGAGATAATTAAGGTCTACACAGCAGGATTGATACTGTTTACATATCTACCTTTCTCCTGCATGCAATGCATCAGAGTTACTGTAAAGTGCTTTATTGCTGACTCCTCTGTACTGTGGTTGTAATCCTGCACCCATTCTAGAAGCTTCTTAACACTGTCTTCTCTGCCCAGTGGCTGATTTGAAAAGATATCAACCTGGTGTCTCTCTGAATGGTTGAAGTATTAAAAATATGAATTCTTATGTAGATGGTTGTTTAGAAATTAATGTCTATCAAAATATCAGCTTTTTTGGTGGGGGGGGGGGGGGGGGGGGCAGTAGACTTTCTTCTGGCAGGGGTGGGGGGCGGACACTGTTAGATGTATATATTTTCTATATAAATTCCATTTCGTTCGGGGGACGGGGGGTAGACTATTTTCGGGGGGGGGGGGAGGGGGGGGGGGGGGGGCTCTGCCCGAGGGGGGGCTCTGCCCATTGGAATCACAATGCCTATCATTTCAAGTATCATTATCATAATATTGTAACCTATACTAACATAACATACTTTTCACATTTACAATAGCAGATTATATTATAATTTCATCTTATTTTAAAGATCATCCATATTTTGAAAAAAAAAAGTATTGAAACTAGAGAAATAATGAGAATGTTGCAAAAGTTGGGGGAGTTAATTTTATATTATCTTAAGAGTAAGAGTTAAGACTTAACTTAAGACTTAACACAAGAGTTTTGTATACAATCATACATTTATTAAATTAGGCTTTGCGGCTTAAATATTAATATATTAAATAATTAGGCCTAATATAGTTTAATTAGTTTAATATACACATTAAATGCACAAATAATTAAATATAATTACCCAGAAATGGACTGTTTTTAATGATGACGTCTGGTTTTAAATAGGCGATGAATGTGTCTGTAAGAGAGTCCAGTATAATTTGCAGATCATCAATATTCAGATTTTCTACCATGTTTCAATTATAATGCTGTCTTTCTTAAATTTAATTATTGTTAAATTTAGTAGACAACATTCCAGCAACTTGAATTAAAAAAAAAGTTTCTTCGCCGTCAACGAAGAATGAGAGTTTAAGTTAAAATGTTTATTTTGATTTAGATCTAGATCTAGAATTTTTATTTAATATTTATTATTTATAGAGCCAAGACGCCGTTTCATTTTTTAAGGTTCGGTATGGTTATTTCAGTGTTCAATCTTTTTGTTTTTTTTTCAATCTAACTAGAGTACTATCTCTATTTATAAAACATTTTTTTTGGGTATTTCCTATCAAGAGTTTTTCCCGATACCGTTTTCACTTTCGGCTTCAGTTTCGGTATTGGTAACAAAATTGCAGTGTCTACATACTACATATTGAATGTGCGTTTTAAAAAATACAAAAAGATTAAAATTGCAGTACCATGCTTTAAAATAATATTTTTATTTAATTAATTATTAAACTTTAAGCCTAAAAATTAAGCTTTGAGATTTAAGCAAATTTCGAACGGAAAAATCCGATTAGTAATTAGATAATAAAAAATAAATAAAAAGACAAATGCGATGTTTTATTATTGACTGTTCTTAACATTCAACATAGTTTACATACAATTACATAGGGGTCATCCATAAATGATGTCACGCATTTTTTTGGACAATTTTAACCTCCCCCCTCTCGCGTCACACATTGTCACGAAAAGCCAGACCACCCCCCCCCCCTAAAGTGTAAATGACGTCACACCTCAGCCTACAAACCTCCCCGCTCCCCTCCCCCCCCTCAAAATTGCAGTTTAATATTTTTCCCAAATCTTGTCTGAACTTTTTCAACATGGAGTTTTTTTTTCAATTAATTCCTACATTACATTTTATTAAAACAGTTTTCTAAAACGCGAAATAGGGTAACGGCTAAAATTCGTTTTCTAACATTGCTTTTTTTTTGTATACAAAAGTGTGACGTCACACCATCTGAACCCCCCCCCCCCCCCTCCCCACCCCACACAGTGTTACAACATTACGGACCCCTCTACGACGTGTGTGGCGTCATTTACGGACGACCCCATAAGCAAAATTTGAGGTGTAGTATATTAGTCTTCTTAACACAAGGGCTTAATGATGCACAATAAGAATAAGACCTACTGAGTGTGATTATAGTAATATTTTTGGGGTGAATTTTCGGTTATAGTTTGGGGGTTATACTATAAGTTTGTGACATCTTTATGAAATGGATTTGTGTGTGTAGGTAGGGGTTGTTGTGCTGATCTGTGATGATACCTTGAATTAAATTGGCTTTCAAAGCATATGGTATACAGTGACACACTTATGTTAAGACATTTTTTGATAATTTATTAGAGGGGTGGCTTACTAATCATCAATTTTTAAGCCTATTAGGTGTTTGAGATTAGGAGGGATACACAAAAACATTGGTATTTACTATTTTTAGCTACATTCATTATGACAGATATTTAAAAAAAATCTGCTTGGGTAATCATTCTAAAACTTCTACGATTTCTTCACTTTTTTGCAAAGTTTGTGTGTATAAATACAAAAATGTGTGATAATTTATTTTAAAAAAGTAACACACACGAAAATGATTTATGTCGATGTGACTTTATATTTAGGCCTCCAAAAAAATAATGATAAAATTTTTTAAATACATACAACACATCAATTAAAGACTAAAGAGACTTTAAAAAAAGTAAAGATTATGATTAATGAATGTTACACTTTATTATTTACCTTGGAAATGTGTTTTTTTAGCATGTTTTTTAGCATGTTGAAAAGACTTACATGTGGGTTATATCATTAAATATTAACACTGTTTTTAAAACAACATTGAAACCAATATAATATAACAAATAGACAAATGAGAGTTGAGATAAATAATATGCTTTATTACAGCCTAGTTTTGGTTACTCATAAATTGACTGCTTCAACATTGCCAGTTATGTTATTAAAAATTTGTGCTTGATTTGTGTGTCCAGTGGAATATCTGAAAAAAATATTTTTGAACAGGTAAAAGTATATTAAATCAGTCTCATCATGATATCTCATTTTTTCTTTGAAATATATGTCCTATAGTGGAAGAGACCATTAAAGAAAAATGTGAAAAAACAATCTAATTACATCAGTCAGTGAAGAAGTCTAAAGCCCTATTATTTATTAAAGGCAAAATAAGGATTGGATCTCAACAGACACCCTGAAAATTATTGATGAGAGAAAAAGGAAGAAGGCAACATTAAACAACAGCCAAACACTGGGAGTAAAATCCAAAGCCCTGGAAGAATATACAAAAACAAAAAAAAGTAAAAAAAGCATAAAAAAGACAAATATAATTATACGAGAAAAATGGCCCGTTGAGGAAGGATACACCGGGCGCTAGGTTGATAGTGCTGTCTCTTTTCTCTAAACTAAAACCAACCCACCCCCCCACACACACCACCCCCCACCTCCACCCCCCCAACCCCACCCCCAAAAAAACATGTCTACCGTCCCATTCAACGAAATATAATTATATACTTTTTCCAATGTCCGCCCCCTCCCCGAAAATTCTACCCCCGCCCCCGAAAATTTCAAGTACCCCCACTTCTCTCCGGGGAGGAAAAAGTCTGAAAGAAACACTGGTGTCGCGCTTAGCCACTACGCGAAGAATTGCATTAAAGAAATTGCGAGAAAACCACTTTTTAGATTAGACACATTAATTAGGCGGTAATTTTATTATAGAGTATCGATGAGGAAACCACCCCCCCCCCACCCCCCCCCCCCCACCCCCCCCCCCCACCACCCCCGACCCCTACCCCCCACCCCTCACTCCCAAAAAAATCATGTCTACCGTCCCATTCAACGAAATATAATTATATACTTTTTCCAATGTCCGCCCCCTCCCCGAAAATTCTACCCCCGCCCCCGAAAATTTCAAGTACCCCCCACTTCTCTCCGGGGAGGAAAAAGTCTGAAAGAAACACTGGTGTCGCGCTTAGCCACTACGCGAAGAATTGCATTAAAGAAATTGCGAGAAAACCACTTTTTAGATTAGACACATTAATTAGGCGGTAATTTTATTATAGAGTATCGATGAGGAAACCACCCCACCCCACCCCCCCCACCACCCCCGACCCCTACCCCCCACCCCCCACTCCCAAAAAAATCATGTCTACCGTCCCATTCAACGAAATATAATTATATACTTTTTCCAGTGTCCGCCCCCCTTCCCGAAAATTCTACCCCCGCCCCCGAAAATTTCAATTACCCCCACCCCTCTCCGGGGAGGAAAAAGTCTGAAAGAAACACTGGTGTCGCGCTTAGCCACTACCCGAAGAATTGCATTAAAGAAATTGCAAGAAAACCACTTTTTAGATTAGACACATTAATTAGGCGGTAATTTTATTATAGAGTATCGATGAAGAAATTTATTTTGAGTTGGGGAGGGGGGGGGGGGGGGGGGGGCTCAGACGTTGTTACGCGTGGGGTGGGGCTTCGCCCCTACCCGAAGAATTGTATGCAAGAAACTCTTCACGCAAACCATTTAGATTAGACAACATTTCCTTTTTATTCAATGTTTACGCGATAATCAATGACGTCATTATATTACTGTGTGCACTCTCTGGTTTGAGATTATGTTCTACTCTATGCTAAATGTGACCGCGTCATACTTCGTCTTTCGTTTCACTGTGAGAGTTTTTAATTTCCTTGTGTTTTCTCTAGAGCGTTCTTGTCAGACAGATAGATAGATAGATAGATAGATACATAGAGAGACAGCGAAACTATTATATAGAATAAAATTGCTGGAAAGTGAAGCAGAAGAAGCACTCTACCATGGGAATACTGGGGACCTTTCTAGTACAATTAAGATGTCTGGAAGTTCAGTAAGCCAGAGAGGCCAGTGAAGACAGAAGATGGAAATGTAATACCTGATGAGGAAGGACAGAGAAAGAGATGGGTAGAACATTTTGAAGGAGTACTAAATAGAACAAAACATCAGGACACACAATATATACCACTAGTTGAAAGAGGTAGTTCTATAGACTGTAACCCATCTTTAGAAGAAGAGATACATAAAGCCATAAAGTAGCTAAAAATTTGAAAGTTCCAGGAATAGATGGCAGAAGCACTGACAGCAGATGTTGAAACTAACATTGCACTACTCTAAAATTATGAGAAAATGGAGGAAGCCTGTAGCCAGAATAAAAAGACAGGCCCTCACCTGGAATCCACAGAACAAAAGGAAAAGAGGCAGACTAAGAAAGACCTAGAGGCATGATCTGGAAGAAGACAGCAAGAAGATTGGATACACCTGGGGACAGTTAGAGAGGCTAGCCCAGGAAAGAGGTGCCTGGAAAGCTAACCTAACAGGCCCTATAAAGTGTGTAATATTTTATATCAAAGAATCCTATGTGAAAACATATTCTGTCAATGTTAATGAACAATAATTATACCAAGCCAATATTTTTGGGTGATTTCTAGTTGTATTCTTCTATATAAATACTATATATGTAAATCTAATGAAGCTCAGTGACATTGATATTTTAACCCATCTTGTAACTCCAATCATATGATTTATTCCAATCAAACACTACAAGAAATTTTGTAACTAAGCCTTTAGTATATATAAAGCTATTCCCACTTTTCTGCATTAAATTCTGTATGCAACTTTAAGTCAGCTATTACTATAAAATTCAGTTAGTAGTTATTGAAAGGAAAAGCAGTGAAAATAAAAATTAAATGAAGTTTTGATTTAAATAAGTAAAATCTAAAAAAATTTGCCTTTCCAACCAGTTATCTTGACCATAAAATTTCATACCTTTTAAAATCTGCTTCTGTTATTTCCTCTATAACATAAGGTACATTCTTCCATCTTTTGAAGAATTGATTGCCAACTTTCTCTGTATCACAATTAAAAACAAAATTTTCTATTCCTAGAGCTATGAATGGAATCTCTGAATAAATCATCATGCTGCCAATTTTATTATGGCACAGAGAACCAGTTTCTGGATTCCTCCTGCAATGAACTGATCCTACTTTTTTAACACCATTAAAGCTCTTGGTTTGTCTAGAAGGATAAACTTTTACTTGCTCAAATATTTTCCTGCAAATGAAAAACAGTATGAAATATTGTGTTGTAAAGCTGACACATACAATATACATTCCTGTACATTAAGTAAATATAACTGCCTTAGATATTGTGTAAGTTATGCTCTTCCTTAAAAAAAGGAATATAAAGCTCAAGTTAAAAATTAACTAAAATATATTTAACACGTTAAATTCTAAAAATGAATTGTTTCCATTTGATCATTTTTGAATAAAGCTGATAAGCTATTCGGTAGTCAATATAAATATCAAGCTCAAGATAAAACATACCAGTCTACAACAACCCTGTGCGATTGTTTTATTGTCCTGATGTCACTGCTGTCAATCACAAGGCTTCCACACATCTGGCATATCTAATAATAAAATCAATATATTGTCACTCTCATTTCACAATCAGATAAGTTACTATTAGGATAATGTTAGTTGTTAAAGTGTAGCCTATATTTCACATAATAGTATATTTTACACATTCTTCTTTCTTATAAAACCTAAATCACAAATCAATTAAAAAAAAATAATTTTGTATCACTTTTGATATAAAAGAAATAATACAACAACAAATGTAATTATGTTTTTTCAGTTTACTCACATTAAAAAGTTTTGTGTGTGAAATAACCAAGCAGATGTAGTAGTGTTATATAATGTTTATACATATATGTATTACAAATTTAGAAATATTTCACCTTAAAACATCTAAAATAATTCATTTTTATGTGGAGTTTTCCATATTATTCGTTTGATTATTATTTTAAAGAACATATAATATAAAATCTTATTCAAATTAAACAGAATTTTTAAAATGTTTAGAAGCAATAGTTACCATCTTGAAAGGTTGTTTAATTAATTTTTTTTCTTTATTTTTCTCTCTTTCTAATCTTTTAGCTTCTTCATCTAAAGCTGCTTCCTGGTTCTTTTGGTTAGAATCACAAATTTCATGATGTTTCATCTCGCTGATAGTCTTTAATGCTCTGTGCATCATTTCAGCCTTTTCCTTATTGATAGTCTCCTTATTTATGAGATCTGGCATTGCCAAGAGAATTGATATTCCACCTTTTTTTCGACTTCTACCTGTTCTCAAAATTCAATACATTCTTAAACTGTATAGTATCTTAATTTAATCAATTTGTGTTTATGCATTTATATTTTGCTGAATTCATTTGCATTAGTTATAGAAACTTATAAAACACTCAATGCTTTCCATAATAGCTACATCATGTTATATTAAATCAGGGGTCTCCAAACTACGGTCCTCATCCGGCCCTTGGAGATCTTTTTGTCCACGGAAAAAAATGTTTTTTGTAGGTGGCTGCGGAAAAATGCCACCCCAATGAGATGACCTGGAAGAGACTCTGGCCCCCGAACTTATATTTGATAGTTAATGCGGCCCTCGGGGTGAAAAGTTTGGAGACCCCTGTATTAAATGAAAGCCTTTGTTGCCTAAAATAATAAAATCGTTTTTTTTTTAAACTACACATTATAAAGAATGATTATTTACCTCTGGTTTGCACAGTAGTGACTTCATTGCCAATATGATTGTACTTGATCACTAAGTTACATTCTGGAATATCCAGCCCTTCTTCGCCCACAGATGTGGATACAAGCAGTCTAACAACACCAGATCTAAATTCTTGTATAACCTTCTCTTGGGCTGTTTGACTCATACCTAAATATACACAAATTTATACATCACAACAACTGTACTCATTAATAGTGGCTAGTGAATGCTAGGTTATGCCAAATAGTTTTTCAAGGTTTTTAAGCTATTTTTCTTGTCAGCTTAATAGGCTTATATTTTAAGCATTTATAATATTGTCAATCACAAAGTCACAAACTGTGCTTACATCAGTGGATACTATACACATTTTCTGTTTTTATTGTATTGAGGTGTTTTTATTATATTGAGGTGTTAGGAAGAAATTCCGTTTTTAACATTATTTTCAAAATTTTACTATGGTGAACAAATATTTATATTAAAAAACTCATCTGAAAATAGAATTTATTTATTCAGAAATGTTACTTTACATATTACAGTTCACTAACCTCCTTTATCTGTGGTCGAAGATGTGCCAGTAAAAATGGAAGGTTTTAGCTTTCTTATCTGTGGATCTGCACTTCGTTTCAACCAAGAGGTTAGAGCATAACTCAGAGCTCTTGTGCGAACAAAAATTATTCCACAGGATTTGCTATCATTATTACTGGTTAGTACACTGACAATTGTCTCACGAAGTTTTGCAAGATTAGGGTTATCCAAATCTTTGTTTTTATTCATGTATTCCTGTAAATCTGAAAAGTTAAAAAAGAAAACACTACATTTTTATAAATAGTTGCAGGATCAATTATTTAGTAGACCTAATGAAGATTAACAATTTAATTAAGGTTATGACAATAAGAAATTATGCAAAACAGAAAAAATGAAGAATAAAAATAAAATATGTTATGAAAATTCTGTTTTCATATAAAAAAAAAAAAAAAAAAAATTGTTTGAATTCTTACCCTGGAAATAATCCCAGCATAATTTTTCTACTTTTGTTTGTTTTTTATTTTTACTATATTTATCCAAACGTTTATTCAAATAATCCATCATATCTTTTACTTGAACAAGATCATACATTTCAAGGGCAAAATTATAGGCCTATATTTAAAAAATATTAAAGATTAAATTGTAGTACATGAAAAGGTTACATACAATATTTATATGCATGTGTATGTAGAAATTTATCTATTTTCATATATAAAAACCAATTATGATACATTACTTTATTATGTTCTTACAATTAAGTACTCAGCTATTATGTATAAAGATCTAGCAGACTGATTAGAAACTAGATTTTGTTCAGTCTCATTAACTTTGTGCAGAGTCTTTGAAATATTCATCAGTTTTACTGCCCATTGTCCATACAGCTGGCCATTCTTTTGACATGGCATTTTATTGACATGATTTCCAAGCCACGTACTCTTTAAATCTAATAACACAGATTAAATTTAGAATTAACATAAACATAGTTAAATACTGTTTTTGAAAAAAAAATTAATAATAATATTTTTTGATGGTTTAAGTTTATATGAGATTGCTAGTGAAAAAGGTGTTTTTAATTTCCATATATTTTATACTTGAAATATTATCACTCACTTGCATCATGTTCATTGATTAAGAGCTCCAATGAAGAAATTAATGAAATTATCTTAACAAAACAATCCTCAGTCTGCCGTTGTTGCAGGTGAAACATCACTGAAATAAAATGAGAAACAAATCCTTTTTTCACAAAACAGGTAAGCTAATTAATGCATAGGTATTTTAAGAAGGGAATAATTAATGTCTTAAAATTTAACAGAATTATTTCTATGTTAATAGGCTACTCAAAAAAGTTAAGTACAAATAAAATATTCAAAAAATTAAGTTTGTTACTTTCAGTTGGAACTGGAACTATTTCTTTCAACTCTGCTTCATGTTTCACAACCATAGATATGCATTCAACATCCATGTTTCCCAATATCTTTAAAATATTTTTTACTGCTACTTCCTCCTCAGTTGCACCTCCAATACTAATTGATGCTGTCAAACCTATTATCTTTACAATTAAATCAAAATGTATACAAATTATTATATATTAATTAATTCACTGTGTTTTTTATTATAATAATAATACTCTAAGACTATCAATTAAGATGTAATGTTTTCTTATAGCTAGATAAATTTTAGATCTGGTCATGATATAATTAATTTTCAAGATTGTAATAAAGAAAAAATTATTTACAAAACATTTTCTTTAAAATTGAAGTTTTGTAATATCTTCAGGAATAAATTATACATTAAAGTATCTTATATCTTAACTAAATAATATTATTTCTATAATAATTGAATTATCATTAATCTAATTAAAACAACAATACAAATAATTAACATTACTTGTGGGAGACTTAGACTGTTATTACTATATTTGGTTTTTATGTATTCAAACATAAGGCTGTTGTAGGTCTCCCCCTTGCGAGTATGGTGACATTCATCAAATATCAACATTGAAAAAACACCTAGGTGGGGCAAGCACTTCTTGATCAGGTGGTTTTCTAGGATCTTTGGTGTCATGACAATAACATCAAAGTCTTTCATTAGAATGTGAAGATTGGTACTGTCCTCACTATCTCCAGTCAAGTGGGTAACCTATCCACAAGGAATAAACAGTTATTGTTATGGGCATACATATTTCAATTTTATAAAGACATTTAACAATTAAAACCAAATACTTTTTTATGTTTAAAAAAAATGTATTATTTTAAGTCTCAATTGTTAGGGATTTAAATATTAGGATGAAATGTGTAAACATACTTTAAATTTTGTTGGCAAAAACTTTTCAATACACCTAAACTGCTGCATAACCAATGGTACAGTTTTAGCAATAAATGCAACTTTACATGGCTGATTTTCTGAAGAAAAATCGAAATAGTTTGAAATATTAATGATCAGGAGAAAAAGCAATGGTCAAATCTAAAATCAATAATTAAAATTGATTATAACTATTAGATATTAGCATAAAATTAATCTTAGTTATACATCAAATTTTTTTTAAGTTTACACACTTTTAAGAATATTTTCTTGCAGATGTGAAAGTATGATGTGTAGAGCAACTTTAGTTTTTCCTGACCCAGTAGGTGCACAAATAATTGTGTTTTTTCCTTCCAGAGCATTTTCTGCAAGCTCATGCTGATAGTTTCTTAGTACTAGCTCCGGAGTTTCTGTACAGGAATATACCATTCAGACATTGAGTATAAACAATCAGAGGAAAAAAAACCAACAGAATAAAGTATTAATAATAAAAAATATCTACTACACTGTTAAATGCAAAATAATTTTAGAGACTTAGACATTTAAAAAATTGAAAATAAGCTCAAGTTTTAAGGAAAATATATCCTATTGGCGTTTTATTATAAAATGTAATTTAATGTCTTATTATATGAGGTAAAGTTTATGATAATATAGCATTTAGGCATAATTAAATTACAAACTTATAAGCTGAAGATTACCTTCATTGTCATTGTCAGGTTCTGAGTTTACCTCATCTTCATCATCAGAGAAATTGTATTGTTCAAAATTCTCTCTTGCCACAACCGATTCTTTATTTGGAACTTCAGAAATTTCATCATAACCAAGAGCTCCAGAGGTGTAAATGAAGCTCCATATCTGTTCATTTTTGTAATCACCAATATCTCCAGGGTTAAGCTTATAACGCAAGTCCTCTGGTTAAAGTGAAATCAGGAATTATTAATATTGACAAAGAATTTCACAGGGAAGAATGGTTGAAGAGTAAAGCGCATTACAGTCATCCCAAATATTTATTTTCAAGCCTGCATTAAACATAAATGATTTAAGTTCATCATGATGGAAAATTACTTGTCAAGAAACTTAAGTTTAGTAGGTTCACATACATGTTGCTGACTACATAATTCCTTAAAATGTAGAGGTTAGAGAAATAGTTGATAACTACCTCATTTGCACCAAAAGGGTACTTTTAAAAATTCTGATGACTGTTTTGTGAACATTTTTAAAAACAAAAAGCCCTGTTCTAGATCAAGCAATAATTTTTATTGTCTTACAAGTTAAGCATGGAAAAAAATTAGGGAGATATATTCATGAACCAGTCCCATAACTTGTGAACACCAAATGGTCACTAATTAGTGTAACTTGTGTTTAATTAAAATTGCATCAACAGCAGAATAAAACACTTGGAACTAGGTTTGCTGCATTTTTAGCTCCTTAAAATAATATTAATTACTGTACATTTTTACACATTTTTAAATTAAAAAAATATAGGATGACTCTTTTAAAAAAAGTAATACATGTATAGAACACAAATAATGCATGATCTTCCAGCATGTGGTAATTATATAGCAGGATCGTAAGAGGAAAACTAAAAAATAATGTAAATTGTCACAAATTTTAAAAACCTTCTAAATCACAATCTGTAAAACTTTCATTATCCTGATCTTCTGAACTTGTTGAAGTCACAGAATATGTTTGTAAGCTACTAGCTATTGATGCCGATTTTGGAATATAAACATCTTTGTGCAATTCAAGTGAGTTCACACATCTCCTCTTATCTGTGCAGGAAACAAAGTTATATAAACAGTATGTAAAGAAAACGAAAATATACATTTTTTCATTCAATGGTACTGCTGCGAACAGTATACTAGAGAAACAATTTTGAAACACAAAATATTGTGAGTAGCATTATCTGAATTAATGTTATAATTAGTTTAAATGTTTTTTATCTATTTTTACTAAGTATACTAAATATTTTAATATTCAAATATTTACATCTGTTAATAGAACTAGCTCCATCACTTATTAAACCAGAAAGGTTTGGCTGACATACAAGAGCAGCATCAATAAATATAAATGGCCACACTGGCTTTCTTTTACACAAAGATTTAAATATTTTCATTGAACAATGATGTGGATCTTCAATACACTTGCAAGTAGGGATGTACTTCTGAAATTTTGGATCAAGCCAAACAAAATTATATTAAGAATGTCTGGTAAGAACATATATATCCATATTTTCTAGATACTTTTAAATTTGTATTTTTAATCTTAAAATATACCTTATTGCAAAATGTAATTCAAAATGTAACTTTCTTGCATAACTATAATTATTTTCATAAATAAATTTTGTTAATATTCATGATTAAAAAAAATAAAAACTATCTTACAAAAACGAAGTCTATACTTTTATCATTGCTAAAATATAATCTTAAAAAAAAATAGATTTTACCCGTAAAATACAATTAGCTTTAACAAGATTATCAATGATGACGTCTAAATTCTGCTTGGTCAGTGCCGTTATAAAACTGCCATCTAACAAAAGACATAGAAACTGGACATATGTTTTGCTATCTTGTGTCACATCAAGTGATTCAGGAAGCATCAAGAGAGGAATATCTGAGAACAAATTCAAATTTGTAATAGATGTCTTAAATATGACATAGATATTTTCAACTAGAAAAAGAAAATATATAAATAGTTCTCATTCGACAATGCAGATTCATCCTAAAGAGGATGGAGGGATAAATAATTTTAAACATTTTAACTATTCAAAAGTACATCTGTGATAAGTGATGCAAAATTTTAGATATACTTTACATGAAACACATCTCTAGTACATTTTTACAGCATACCTAATAAAATTTTTTATATAACACAAATAATTCATAAATAATTATCAATGAGAAGCAAATAATTGCAGATTAATTCTATTGTTAGGAGATAATTTCTAAATGTAAAACATGCAATCAACATGTATCCTTATGTAATATTAAATAAAAAGAAAAAAACCCACCTTTTTCTAGGGAGAGATCATTTAATGCATCTATAAAGCAACAAACATTAGAGTTTGAAACCCATTCCAATAATCTATGTGTTACTGACAGCCCTGTTGATGTATTGTCCAATTCAACTATCATTTTCTTTCCTTCTGTAACATTATATATATATATATATATATATATATATATATATATATATATATATATATATATATATATATATATATATATATATATATATATATATATATATATATATATATATATATATATATATATATATATATATATATATATATATATATATATATATATACATTTAAATACATAAATGATCTACACAAAGTGTTTTAACATTTTAATCAATATTTACAATGAAACAAATTGTAAGGAATTTTTCAATTTACTTAATAATTCAGGTGCACTCAAATTAAAGATATATCAGAGAATTAACAAAAATTTTTGAGCTAATGTTATGATTAAGTACTATGCTATAATTAATAATTAACATGATGGATAGAATGCCATTTTCAGAAGTGTTGTAGTTTTCTTTACAGAAAAATAGATTTTACAAAAAAAAAAAAACTAATAAATAAACTAAGGGAGGGTTTCTTTATATGACATATGTACAGTGGCTTAAATAATAATATTTACCAAAACTCACCATATAGTTTAATTTTGTCAACAATCAGTTGTGACACCTCATTTGGCATATACTCCTGAAAGGTATCTTTTAGGGCCTCAAAAATATCATCTAGGTCACTGGCCATATCACTGGAGCTAAAGAGTAGTGTGGTTCTTTAAAAAAAAAAATGTATGTATAAATACACTTACACAAATGAGACATAAATATTTACACACTCACACATACATATTATATATGTATATGTGTTTATTTATTAATTATTTATTAATATATTTATTATCATTATCATTATTATTATCTTTTCAGATGGAATAAAGAGAAATGTATTTAATTATATATTATTTATTGATATAATAAAATACAAACTGCATTGTTCTATTTACATATTTTGTAATAATAATAGTATAGGCCTGTATAGGATAATATTTATATATATTTTTATATGAATGCGTTTATATATATATAGTATTACATAGTAACTATATGCAGTAAAAATCTATATGTTATATACTATTATAAAAGCTAGGTGATATTTACTCATATACATTTTTTAGAATATTATTATAGGCCTATAGCCTATTATAGGCCCTATGCCCTATCATATAGGATATATATTTAATATTTAGGTTATGGATCTAGAGCAGGGGTCTCCAAACTATGGCCCGCGGGCCGTATGCGGCCCGCAAGGTCCTCTCATCCAGTGTTTCTTCCAGACTTTTTTCTCCGGGGGAGGGGGGGGGGGATTTGAAATTTTCGGGGGGGGGGGGGGGACACTGTTAAAAGTATATATTTTCTATATAAATTATATAAATTTCATTTCGTTCAGGGGGGGGGGGGGGCGGTAAAATTTTTTCGGGGGGGGGGGGTCAAATACAATAATCAATAATACAATAAGTTATAAAGTTATAACTCTTCTGACTCTTCGGCTTCTAATCTATAGTTACTAAGTTAGACACTCTAGAATACTCTAGATTAATCTAGAATACTGAGAAAACTTCTGAGTATAGAAGTCTAGATCGAGATAAAAAGATAATATAATATCACTTATATTTATTTATCTTAGTAAAAGTTAGTAGATAGATCTAGTAATAGTAATGTCTAGTACTAGTAGTAGTATTATTAATAAAATATTATTAGTTATTTACTATTTATTTAGTATTATTTAATTATTAGTGGTAAGGTAGGCCTACCTCTACAAAAATTATTTAAAATTTAATTTTTTTATTTTAGGCATAGATCTAGGCCCAATGCATAGGAGGGCCTAGGCCTAGATCTAGATCTATGCCCTATTTAAATTTATTATTTCAATACATGTTAGAATAAGAAAGTCTTCATTTGTTGTTGGTTTCAGTTTCTTGATCTAAAGTGGTCTAATTGTTTCAAATAGGCCTATGTAAAACAATTGAAAATATGAAAGTCTAAAAAAAATGAAAGCTACGATCTAATAATTCGATTTGGGAAATTCCCAGCGAATATAATTTTATTGGGTATTTCCCATTATATTTTTTTTGGGGGGGGGGGGGGCCTGTATAGTTGTTTTAAAACATTTTCCTCCAAAGATTTTTTTTTTTTGCATCATTAAAACTAATCGAGATCTAGATGTAGATTTGTATCTAAAAATTTAGAATCTAGATGTAGATTACTATAGATTCACTATATTTTATATGAAAGTATGTGGGTTTGTAAGTTTATCCTTTAATCAGTGTCAGTGGTGTAGCGAGGTCGGGTGTCACCCGGTGCGGCACTTAATGGTGTCACCCCCCCCCCCCCCCCCCCCAAATGCGTAGCGACCCTCCCCGGGGACAAACTTTCAATTTTCGATTTGCAACCCCCCCCCCCCCCCTGAAACTTTTGATTTGCACCCCCCCCCCCCCCTCAAACTTTCGAATTTTCACCTCTTAACAGACTGAATCACTTAATTAACTAGAGTTATTATTTTTCTCTATATATTTTGCTATTTTGTCACCCCCCCCCCCCCTAAATGTGTCTCCCGGTGCGGTCCGCACCCCCCTCCCCCCCTCGCTACGCCTCGATCAGTGGCGTTGCAAGGTAGGATGTCACCCGGGCGGCACTTCGCGGTGTCAACCCCCTAAGAAACAAATTTTATATATATATATATATATATATATATATATATATATATATATATATATATATATATATATATATATATATATATATATATATATATGTGTGTGTTTGTGTGTGTGTGTATGTGTGGGCATATATGGCCTGTAATTTAAATATATGCCACATACGAGTACATGTATGTGCATAAGTTTTAATCACTGCATGCAGACTTAATAGTAACGATGTTTATCTATAGTCTGTACATTTTGCAATTTTTTGCCTTGGTGTCACCCCCCTAAATGGTGTCACGCCCTCTGCATTACTACACATACACTCAACTACCTCAACTACACTGTTTAGCCTTTTAACAAGTTCAAACCATTTCTCTATCTAGTGTTGTTAAGAAATGACGCGACTAATTCTTCAGTCTACGTCACGTAGTTAAAAGTTAGGTTTCTGGCAACTTTAACGGGAAACGTTTACTTAATGGTTTAACTTTTAAAAAAAAAAGATTTTAATTAAACTTACATTATAATGTTTACTGATGGCAATAATACGCTGGTTTTATGTTGCTTATTATTCAGATATCACGATAACATTTCGTTCCGCTGGTCAATAAATTAGATATTTAATATATTTTTTACTCAACTTTAGTCGCACGCTCGACCGTAAACAAATATTTGTTTACTCCAGAACAACAGGAATTTATTGCTCAGTTATTTTAATGTAATCTTTTAAAAAGTTTCAATGTCTGATGAGTTTCATCAGGAGGTTTATTTTTTTCCTGACCCGGTGTTTGTTTTCGGTTTGTAACATTTTGACGTGTTAACATTAACCGTTGAGAGTGTGCATAGGCCAACTTATCAGTAACGTTTTGTTGCAATTTTATCAGCGATATTTCTTGATGCGCAGTTTCACCAAGTAGGCAAATATCTGTATTGATCAATATAACTTCCAAATAATGCATTTTCCCTAGACATCACGAAGCTTGAATCATTTCTTCGACTAATTAATTGTAATTAGGGATTCCGGTACTCTCGCTATAGCCCACACTTCACAATATAACATCACATCAACAACTGGGCCACAATAAAAAAAAACTCCTTACATGTCTATTAT